CGTTCACCTCTTAAGTGTATGGAAAAATACTTTTAATTGATGAGCTATGAAAGTCAGTATTGCTTGAAAGTATTAGCAGTATGTTTTCTGGAAGAATTTGAGTATGAATTTGGTCAAGAACTTTTTATTCTTGAATGTCAATAAGCAGAAAAAGTAAATGAGATGTGGCTCATCTGTGACATCTACTAGAAGACAATTGACTACAAATAATAATGTATTAAATCACGGCAAAGGGCAGAGAGTTATATCTCTTACTGAGAATCTTTTTAGAATATGATTTTTCAGAAATCACATCTTGCTAACATATATGAGTAAACTAGAACTTGGTGTGTTGTTCTCTTCCCTATTATTGATCTTGTCCATCCCTCTGGATCACTTTTTGTTGGTGATCTTGTAGGCATCAGAAAAGCTCAAGATTCTCCATTTGCTCTGCTGTGAGATGAAAAAATGTCCCAAGTGCCATTTCTTTTAAGCAGAAAAGATCTACAAATGATGTATGGGAGATTTGTCACTGCATACTGATGAAGCTTGGGTCAGTTTCAAAGATATTTATGGCTGACATGAGTCTTTTTGCCTTTTTTTCTTTATTTGCAGTGAAGAATGCGAGACCTAACGGCTCAGGTAACGAGCAGTCTGCTGCAGTTTCCAGAGGTGACTGTTGAGGCACTTGGGGAAGATGAGATCACCCTAGACTCTGTGCTGTGTGGGAAGTTTTCTGGAGGTGAGCATTTTCCTTTAAATTTGGATTTGGTGTAAAGTTGTTACTGCCTGAAGCACAGGGTCATAGCATCAGGTTCTGCTGGTGCTGACAGGATATTTTAACAATTGGAAGTGCTAAGCATTGAAGGTGCAACAGCCTGCTCCAGTCCTGTGCTATTTAAGTAATATAGCTGACCATGTCCTCCTCAGTTTTGAATGAAATAGAAGATAGTTTTCAAGAAAGAAATAGTGTTGTTTTGGGACAAATTTCTTTATCCCAAGCTCTACGTCCATCATAACATCCCATGCAGAAGTAGTTCCAGAGACACAATGTGCTCCTTTTTCTTTAGTCCAAATAAAAAATGGGAAGAGGACAGCTCTGTTAAGAACTGCCCACGTATTATTTAATAGGCTGCAGATGAGACCCAGTGAGAGTTGCTGAGAGCAGCTAAGCAGATTAGGCAGTTGACTTTCTCGGTGATCTGAAGGTAGAGCTGGATGCCTGTGTGGATGTCTTGGCATCTGTTAAGACCAGGTAGAATCTTATCTCCCTGTCTGTAAGTGCAGTAATGGAGCTAATCCTTGCTATGAGCTTGAAGTTCCTCAGCTAAGGAACAAGTGTTAAATTCTTCAGTGAAACAACGCTTGTTAAATTCTTTCTGGGAAGTGCAGGTGTAAAAGTTGAAATTTCCGGATGCAGTGCCCACTTGAAGATAATTTCCTGTCGGAATCCCTGCCCAGAGTAGTCGTGCGTTAAGCAAAATTCTTAACTGGAAATGAATTGGTTTAGATGGGCTGTGTGTGAAGTATTCTTTGAGACTTTGTACATATTTAGGTGTTTTCTAGCAAAACCAATCCAAGTATGGGATACAGCCTGGAGCTCAGTGTATTGTAATCTTTATCCCAAAGAGTCAACGTTCATGAGTGCAGGGAAGACAAGTACAAATGCAAAAGAATGGGGTTCTTAATTCTAAGATGTATTGGTTGAGGATTGCAGTGGGTGGTTGAAAAGAATGGTGGGGATGTAGGTAGGTTGTCCTTCCTCCCTTTGGTGCACTTGAGGGAAAGGCCCAGTGCCAGTGGCCTTGCTGTTGTTTCAGTTCTTGTGCTGGGGATTTGTTCAGTGGTGTTTCTTTTGCCTTGCAGGCAGAAGTGGCCTGGCGTGGCTGGCGTGTGGTCCCCAGCTGGAGGTGGTGAACTCAGTGACAGGAGAGCGTCTCTCTGCGTATCGCTTCAGCGGAGTGAACGAGCAGCCTCCCACTGTTCGCGTGGTGAAGGAGTTTTCTTGGCAGAAGAGGACTGGGCTCCTGGTTGGCTTGGAGGAAGCAGAGGGAAGTGTTCTCTGTCTGTACGACCTTGGGACCTCAAGAGTGGTTAAAGCAATTGCTCTTTCAGGGAGGGTATGTATCTTTTTGGGGAAATGAGGATTTTGTGTTGTTTGGTGCTGCATATTTCCATTTCAAGAATAGCTTTGGAATGTCTCTTTGAGGGTTGTATGTTTTCTATATTGTATTAACATACTGCCAGTTCCAATTATCCAGTCAAGAGAACCTTTTTCTAAACACCCCTTTCTGCATTTTTGTCATTTTTGTTTTAAGGCTCTAAGGAGCACCATGTTTCCGGTATTATTTCCCACGTGAATTTATAGTGATTGCATGTTTCAGGACTGCCATATGGTATTTTACCAAACTTTATTGGTTTGTATGAGACAGAAAGGGAGCATTCAGATTCAGTGAGCTGAGAAAAGTTTTTGTTGTTCTTCCTCGGAATGAGTTGTCAGAGCACTAGGAGAATAGAGAAAGCATAGCATAGTGGAAAAACATGTCATTTCAGGAGGTTCTACATGGAACATTTTTGGAAGACTATGCAAATCTAGTAAAGATTCATTTGGAGCCAGTTGTACTATGAAAAAATATCTTAAAAGGAAAACACTAGAAGCAGCAACCCTTGAACCTTGTCTAATTACACAGCAAGATGTGTTCTGTATTTCCTCGGCGCAGTCACTAAGACTTGAAGCACAAGAATTTGAATAAACAAAATACTCTTGTTAGTCCTCTGAGCAGTAGAGAAGATTGAAAATTTAATTTGAATCATAGGAATTCTGAAAGAAAATAGAGTTGCTTGAATTTACTAGAGGTACATATAAGCATGGAGTTCTTGTGTTGAAGGTAAATTGTATAGCAGGTGGCCGGGCAGTGCAGTCATAAGCAAGTGCTTGATACAGGAGAGGAGAAAACTTCAGGGAGCCTTTGTGTTTGGATATTTTCCCCCACTTCTGGGGGTAAATAACCTACATAAAAAGATGGACTAGCTTGTGGCACTCGCTTCTTTGCTTTGTTTTCAGACAATGCTTTGTTGCTGATGTAAAGCTGTCTGCTTTCATGGTGCTGCATTTGTAAGAGGCCAGAAGATAGCCTCAGTTCTTGTGTTGTCCAGCTGTAGTGCAGGGGCCCTGGAGTGCTTGTGTCTGCTAGAGCAGTCAGTGCTGTTCCCTGGGTGTGCTGTGGGTGCTGAAGGGTCTGTCTTCACCTTGTGCTGAGGCTGTGGGGACTGCTTGGTGTGTCAGGGAGCAGAGGGAGCTCCTGCCTCAGGCTGAGCAAGTTCTTGTTTGGTCTCTTGTAGCTGTTGTTTTAGGCTGCCTTTTACAGTTTTCTCTGCCATGTGTAACAGTATAAGCTGTTGTGCATTGAAAATTTTTGTTAGATATTACCAGTCAAAGTGAGGAGTGGTGTAGATTTTAGTAAGCCAGCATCTCTCTCCAAGCCTTTCTAGGAATGTTTCATTCCCATGGAAATCTTATCCTGTATTTCCTTTCCTGTTTCTGCTGTGCCAATGCTGGCTTCCCTTCTGAGTGATTACTCTTGAGCCTGTCACAGAGCTTGGATACTAAGCTGCAGTTCCCTGCAGGTGACGGCCATCGAACCCATCAGCAACGACGGCGGAGCCAGCGTGAGCACCCGGCACCTGCATCAGAGTCTGCGATGGCTCTTTGGAGTGGCAGCAGTGGCCACAGACGTTGGCCATGTCCTTCTGGTTGACCTTTGTTTGGATGATTTGTCTTGCAGTCAGAATGAAGTAGAAGCGTCGGGTAAGCTGCTGTTTTTAAACTTGAATTTAGAGGTAAGAAGATTTGTTTCTCTTCCAAAGCCAGCTCACATCCCAGTGAAGATCCCAGCGTGCTGACGGACTACTGCCATTTCTGACATTGCTGACTGCTGGTTGGAGTTGGCAGTTTGATGTGGTGTGGTGCTGAACTGATGAAAAAATGGGGAGTGGCTTAATACTGCTGCTGATGTTAAGAAGGCCTCTTGCTGCCCACATTCCCTTGTCCCTGTGATTGTTACCAGTGGGAGTAGGAATTTTTCCATTTGAGTCAGTGCAGCTGCGTGATAGGAAGTTGTGTTAGAGGTACCATAATTCCTGGGAGTGTTCTCCTGTTTCCATTAATGACTTGTGGCAGGCTTTAGGCTTGTGTTTTAAAATGAATGTGGCTTATCAAAAATTCTGCATTTGGGTCAGTGAATACGGCAGTTTGTGTTTTCAGATTGCATACGCTGTTTTGGGTGTGGTAAGAGTGGCTTCAGGAGCTCAAGTAGCTTCATCTTGAGGCCCAAACTCCTGCTTTATAGGGTGCAAGAAGAATTTGGCTACAATGGGTACATTTGTACTGAGTTTTGAAATAGGAGTGACAAGACCCATCCCATTGGAGGGTGCTTGTATTTCTGAATGGGTGCAGAGACAGGAGTAGTGAAAAAAGGTGCTGCAGAAATGGGTGTTTTGCTTGGCACAGTAGAATTAGATTGTATGTGTTCTATAATCACATCAGTTTAAAATGCAATGGAAGTGGCACAATGCATTAATTTCTTGCCTGTTTTTCTGTGTGTAGATCTCGAAGTTGTCACTAGAATTCCTGCTGAAGTTCCACAAAGAAGAGAAGCTGTGACCAGAGAAGGGAGGCATCTCTGTTTTCAATTACAAAGTCCTTCAGGAACAGCAGTATCAACCCTGTGCTACATAAGCAGAAGCAACCAGCTTGTTGTGGGTTTTTCTGATGGCTACTTGTCACTATGGAACATGAAAACTTTGAAGAGGGAGTAAGTAGTCACTTCCGCTTTGTCACACTTGGAGGTGCAGGGATCTCAATTTTTTGCTTTACGAAGTCATGCTGTAGGGGTTTTATAGAGCCAATTTTTATAAGTCAGTTTGTTCTGTCCAATAGTGTTTTGTGAACCCAGGCAATGTGTGTGTTTCTGTGAAAGATTTTGGAAAGGTTTGGAACCAGTTGTTGTAATTAGGGTATCCACTGGAAGGCTTCTCCGTGAATAATACGATTTTGGTGATAATAATTCTTTAAAATGTCCACACTAGTATGACATGATAATTTAATAGCTGATCTGTGCCTGAAAGTATATTCTTTCCTACATTTCAGCCTTGATGAGTGGCTGACTCATTCCCAGGCAAGAATGCATATGTGAATGAATGTTTGTTTGGATGACTTGGAGATCAGAATTAGGGATACATAAATTTATAAGCAGTACGAAATTTAGAGGTGATTTATAATCTGCCACTTGAAATATATGACCACAGACAAGTGTTATTTAAGGAAATCTACAGTGCCTCAGCAGAAACGATGTGGATGTGGATGCATTGTGGATGCATAAATAGACAGTGGATGCATAATTAGATGCCAGGAGAAGATTGTGAAGGTGAAACTGAAGTTCAGAAGTTGGGAAGACAAATACTAAAGAAGTAATGGCTTCTCGGTCATCAGGTGTTTTAGTTGGAAGTACTAATGGATGACTTTCTGTACTTTGAGGATAAGCATGCAAGCTTCTTTATTCCCAGAAGATGCTTGTACCCTTCTGCAAACAACCAGAGCCAGCAGGCTTTCCTTTTTTCTATACTGATTTTTTCTTTTAAACCTGTAGGCACCACTCCCAGCTTGAAGGAGGAAGGATTCCTGTCTATGCAGTTACTTTTCAAGAGCCTGAGAATGATCCCCGTAACTGTTGCTATTTGTGGGCTGTTCAGTCTACACAACAAAGGTGAATAAAATTTTGCCATAAGTCACTGATTTTTTTTTTAATGTTTTATCGCATTCAGTTGATATCTGTGTATTCATTTTGTTTATTTAACTGTACAGGAGATGAAGTATTAAGCTTACAATGCAATATTTTCAGGATTTTACACTGAAAAGAGGGTTGGCTCTTTCCTACCTTGTGAATGAAGGCAAAGGAAACAGTGGCTGTATTTTTGTGCTTGCAGTCTCAAGTGATTTCCCTTGTTTCTTGATGACTGCTTCAACATTTGTTTGGTATTCCCACCATGATATTCAATGCCATTTAAAGTTGTCTGGGCTGCAGATGCAGAACACTAAACATCATCAGCAAGCTACTTAATCAGCCCAGCTGTTCATAAAGTGGCAGTTTTCTTAAGTTTGACTTAAAAGCAGTTTTCATGGAGAGCACTTTACTGTTGTGAACCATTTCTAGGAATTCAGCAATTTTTTTCTCCATGTTGCATATTAAAGGTTTTCAGTAGTATAGTTAGTATTTGCTCCTGAAGCTTTTGTGTCGTTTTACTGGCTAAGTGTGACCAATTATCATATTTTTGGAAGCAGTGTTTTTCTTTTCAACAAGAGCATGCTCTTAAGTTAGTTTCAGCTTAGATGTAATAAAATGAAAATGAGGATTGTAAAGCTGTTTTTTAATTAAATTTCCTCATTTGTTCCTTTTTCAGTGAAGGTGATGTTGTGAGTTTACATCTGTTGCAGTTAGCATTTGGTGACAGGAAACGCCTGGCATCAGGACAAGTCATGTACGAGGTAAGACAGGCTTGTGTGTGAGAGATGGAAATAGTAATTTTGTCTAAGTAAGGATCAGTAAAGTTGACCAGATTAATATTTTCCATGAAAGATCAGTGAGACTTAAGAAAAAAGTCTTTTGATGAGTCTTTTTTAGGCATTCTTTTGTCCATATTTTTCAAAACAAGTCATAGAATCATAGAATGGTTTGTTTGGAAGACCTTAGATATCATGTAATCCCAATCCCCTGCCATGGGTATGGATGCCACGCACTAGTTCAGTTTGCTCAGGTCCCTATCCACCGTGGCCTTGAACACTCCCAGGGATGGGACATCTATAGCATCTCTGCACAGCCTGACCTCCAGATCCTCACCACTCTCACAGTAAAAACATTCTTCTTAGCATCTAATCTAAATCTCTCCTGTTTTAGTTGAAAACCCCTTCTCCTTTGTCCTATCGCTATCTGCCCTTGTAAAATGTCAGTCTCCCTTTTTTATAAGTTCCCTTTATGTGCTGAAAGGCTGCACTGAGGTCTCCAAGGATGAGGTCGGATTTCTGGATGGGCTGTGAGTGCATATTGCTTGCCCACCAGAATGCCCACATTGTTCTTGGCAGGGCTGCTCTTAGTCACTTCTACCAGTCTGTAGTCATGTCTGAGATTGCCCCACTCCAGGTGCAGCATCTTGCACTTGGACTTGCTAACCTTCATGTCGTGAGATTCCCACTGGCCCACCTCTCAGCATTCTCCACGTCCCTCTGGATGACATCCCGAGGGGTGTTTTTGTTTTGTCAGCTGCACCTTTCAGCCTTATGTCATCTGCAAACTTGCTTAAGGTGCACTTGATATCACTGTTTGTGTCTTTGATATTGAAGAGTGCCAGTCCCCACACAGGTTTCTGAGGGACAGCATTCAACATTGACCTATGGAGATAGAGCTGTTTCCCAAACTTTCTGGCTTGGTCCTTCCAACCAGTTCCTTACCCACTGAGTAGTCCATCCTTCAAATCTGCCTGTCTCTTCAATTTAGAGATGGTTGTTGGTTTTTTCAAGCAAGGCAAACAGCCTAGTTCAGAAGCCAGCACGGTGGCCCCCCCTTTGGCCACTCAGACCACTCTACCCACAAGACATCAGTGTGATGGATGGCGAAGCAATGGCGTTTATTGCAGGAGAATTTGACCTTTTATAACCTAAGGTCATTGTGTTACTCCCATCTGCTCACGTCACACTTGAGTGCTATTGGCTAATTGCAGAAGGTTTTACTATCCTAGCAGAGAGGGGTTTTTGCTAACTTTCCGTTACATCCCGAAACCTTCCGCATCGCCAGGCCTTAAACTACAACAGATGGTGATGTCATGAGGGATTGTGTCAAAGACCTTGTAGAAGTCTAGGTAGATGACATCGGTCAGTTTTCCCTTGTCAAGAGTTTCTGTCGCTCCATCATAGATGACCAGATTGGTCAGACACAATCTATCCATCCTGATGCCATACAATTTTATACTTCAGTGTCATTGTGTTCCAGCTAGATTAATCTGCAAAGGGCTCTTATACATCTGATTCCTGAAGAGGAAATGACTATTATAAATTAAATTACTCTTAACTTAAACATCACATGGATGTCATCTAGGAAGAGAAGACAAGGCTTTGAATAGCTTTGTGTTACCAAACTGTAGATTTGAGGAAGCTTCTGTGTGTCTCCCTTTCTTACAATATGGTCATATATATCTCTATATACATTTTTGATCTCTGTTTTATAATGTTTTTCTTTTAAACTCTTGTCAGTCTGACTTCAGAACACCTACAAAAATACCTACAATGTCTCTGCAGCATTGATTCTGAAACTCAGTCGCTGTAAAGATTACTCTTTTTATAAGTTTTGGATAGGCTGTCTCTGAAATCTACTCCTAAAGCCAGTAAAAGATGTACATGTGATGTACAGTGGTATGATTTGTTCAGAAGAATATCTAAATTTTTAGAACTGCTTCCAGAGATGCTGTGGTATACAATAGATAAAATATAGAGGAGGTATTATTAGATCTCAGATAATCTAACAGAGACAGGAGGCACCTGTATAATGTTTAATTCTATTTAGCAGTATACATGAAACACTACCAAGAAGTTTTCGATGGGAAAGTGATCTTGCAGGTCTTTCCTCCTATTTGACACTTGCTCTTGCACGTTCTCAATAGCACAAAATGAAATTGACATAATCCTTGGACTGTGGTTCAAAGACTCCTTTTTTTTATTTCGACTTTGAGTTTTGAATTTTTTGAATGAGTTTAAATGTTGTTCTTTTTTCCTTTTGTCTGTATAAATCTGCCTTCCTGATTTGGAAGTGTTGCTTTTAAACAGATAAAGGTTAGGTGTTTGGAGAAAGTGGTGTTTAAAATACATCATCTATCACGGTGATGAAGTAATAATACTTCAAGTGGTTCACCATGTCTGAATATACATGTCATATCTTTGTGTGCAGTTTTTAAATGACAAAAATATACTGTGCTCTAAGGAACAGAGCGCCATGTTTCTTTGGGGTTTGTGTGTAGTTTTGGTTTTTTTTAAAGGGCTTTCATTGCAGTTCACTCCTGCATGTTCCAGTGCTCTAAGCACTTTGGCAGGTTGATAGAAGAAAGTTTCTTTAATCTTCTCCAGATTTGCTTTTGAATTTCAGTTTTGTTTTATCCTCTTTTAGAAGTTATGTTTAGCTACAGTCTTAGCAATGACAAAAACATTACCTTTTACTGTGTGCTGCATTGGGGAAAAAGCAATTGTCTCTTTTTTTCTCGTGGCTACTACATTTTTCCATCTGAACAATTTAACATTAAAATGTGAGTCCTCTAACTATTTGGCAGTTATTTGTCTTGGTTGTCTTTTCTGAACAAGATGTGACAAAGGTCGCTTTATACCTCAGAGGGTTGAAACGTTTCATCAGTCTTTAAAAATGGGTTTACTAGAAATTCCAGTTGATGCTCTTCAAAAAAGAAAAAGCACACAAGGTGATTAAAAATGTTACTGGGTTTGTGACCTGGAAAACCTGTGGTGTAGTTCCAAGTAAGACTTGGAACCCTCTACAATCAGTAGTACATTCGCAGGCATGTGTTGAAAGGTTATAACAGGAGCCAATCTTAGAAATCTGTTGAAGAGAGCTGAACATCTGCACCCTCTGAGGAGGAAAGACAGGTTCCTCAGCTGGCCTACAAGATAAAGCATTTAATAGTGTAGTTTCATGCTGAGACCTGATAGCATCTACTGCCAAAAAATCCCCCCAAAACAATTCTTAATCCCTCCCTAAAGGATGCATCATGACAGGATCTGTGCTCAGCAGTGGACGCTTAAGTGATGGAATACTTATGGTCACAGATTGGTCAGAATGACATAATGGGTCTCTGCCTACATGACTGAATCAAGCTTCTTGTTGGTCTTGAGTGGCATAAAATTTAAGAGTTGTTCACTTTTGGCAGGCCAGGCTTGAGTAAACAAGGAGAAAGTAATCTACTGATACTCCTTGTTCACTGAGCAGAAGTCACAGGAGCTTAAAATACTTGTTTGCTTACAGCAGTGCTGTATGTCTCAGGAATCAGATTTGAGGCTATGAAACCATGCATCTTTGACTTTATAGCATGGTGAAAGTCACAAGTGGAATTTTTACAACATGTGGCACTGTGTTTTTATAAACATCTGTCAAACTTGAGTCTCCGTTGCCTTCAAGGCTGGCTTAAGTAAGTAATAAAGTAAGAAAACTGAATGATACACTTAAATTAGGCTTTCAAAGACCTCTTTTAGATCATCTCAGCAGTTGCTGTATCTTGCAAATCAGTTCATGGTCATGGAGCATATCCTTACCTTTGTTCTGCACAAGGCTTGTGTACAGTCTCTGTGTTCATATCGGAGTCTGACCAGTGCAACTCCTTTGAAAACTGTCCTGTTTAACTGGTCTGGAAATCACTGCTTAATATCTTCTGTGCACTAGCGTTCCTTAACTTGCTTGCCCCAGTATGGAAAATTTAAAATATCTAGCTTTGACTAGGAAGTTGTTACAGCGGGAATTATTTAGTATTACTTTCTCCATCCCCTCCGCACTGAATTTATGTGGGAGTGGCTCTTCATATATGAATGAAAGCTGAAATTTCTAGTCATTAAATTAATGCTGGACAGGTTTATGGGATTTTAGTGCTTTATCTTGTGGAACTGTCTTTCAGAATCATGAACTTCTTGTTCAGGACATCATCTCTGTTAAAATTACTTTTAGAGATTACTTTTCCTACAGATGAGGTTCTTTGCTTAGGCTTCATGTTAGTTTTCCAAAGACATGGTTATGGTTTTTCTTGTCTACCCTGCATATATCTGTTACTTCCAAAATTCCTTGATAAAATACTGTCAACTCTGCATGCTTCAGAGCAGAGTTTTGCTAAGGAAATGCTAATATTTGAAAATGTGCAAAGCCTTTTCAGCCAATATATGTTAAAATTTGACACTTAATTCTCTAGAATGTCAGATGTAGTTTTTATTTGTTATCAGAAATAAGTTCATTGCAAATAAACAATACAATATGCATGTTATATTAGATATATACATTCTTTCTTGTTAGGTCTAATGAAAATTACTTTTTTTTTTCCCCCCATCCAGGGTTTGGAATACTGTGATGAAAGGTACAATTTAGATCTCACTGGTGGAATCTTTCCCTTAAGAGGGCAGACCAGCAATACTAAATTACTCAGCTGTCAAACCATAGAAAAATTTCGCAACCATGCTGACAGAGAGGATAGCATTAATGAAGGTTTGTTCTCCTGTACCTGCTTGGTTATTCTAAACTACATGGTTTGGAAATCTAAATGAATACTGTTCTATACCCACAGTCTTAAATATTCATCTAGCTGACCTTGCTGGGCTTATTTAAAAAGAAAAATTGTTTGCTGAACTTAGTGGGACTTTTTTATCCCTCTGAACATCATTCATTAAGGGAAAAAGTGCTTACTTTATGTTTGCTGGGTTGCTAGAGCAGTATATGTGGCATCTGTATAAAGCTGGTCAGTCAGTTTGTTCTGCCAGTAGTCTGCACTGAACAGTAATACCATTCTTTCTGTTGCTTAGGAATGTTATCTGAATTTTTTTTTTCCTGATCAAATCTCTGACTGCTTCCATTTTGCACATGGTCACAAATAGTGTTCCCCAGGGCTCAGTATTGGAGCCAGTTCTATTTGATATCTTTTTCTGATGATCTGGATAAACAACGTGATGAACTTATAATAGTGTATTTGGTTTGATTTGGAACAGATACAATTTGAACAAGAAAAAGAGGCACTATGACTAAAACCACATTGCATGGATGTTTGCTGCTCTGTATATTGTTTTTATCATTACTAATAAAGGGTAGTGTTTCATGAGTGAAATAACAGAATTAAGTCAAAATAGAAAGTGATGGTTTAAAAACATCAGATATCTCGTATTTTCTATAACAAGGAACAATGTCTTGTCTTTGACAGTAGTCTCTCCTGACACCAGTGTATCGATCTTCAGTTGGCAAGTGAATACCTATGGTCAGGGAAAACCATCTACTTATTTGGGTGTGTTTGACATCAATCGCTGGTATCATGCTCAAATGCCAGACTCACTGAGGTAGGTTTTAATGAAGTGGTTTCAATATCCCTACAGAGGGTTAATTTGAAAATTGCTGCTGAACTTATGCTCTTGTTTTCTTTAAGGCCAGAAGAATTCCTTCATGATTGCCCCTATTTTGCACTGTGGTCACTGGATCCTGTAATAAGCATGACTTCTCCAAACCTCATTTTGGATATTCTGGTACACGAGCGTAGTCTAAGTCGGGGGGTTCCTCCTTCTTATCCACCACCTGAACAGTTTTTTAATCCAAGCACCTATAATTTTGGTAGGTATTTCACTGCTTTTCATTTGAGTAGTGACAGGGTTCAGTGGAGGTCAAATGCTACTTGGTGGTTCTCTTTCTCGTTCATTGCTTGTCACACAAAATGCCAAACAAGAAAAGCCCCATAAACCTTCTCAGACCTGGTTCCCATGTCCTGACAAGGTGCTTACTCTAGTGAAACGTATGTGACAGGCTGCTGGGTTTTGGGTTTGGGGGCTTCTGTAACATAGCCCAGGAAGGGCTGATGGTGATCAAATGAAATGCCCAAAGCACAGCACCTGGGTAGCGATTGAGCTTAAGTTTCTACAGACAGAGTGTAACTACTTTTAAGGAAAGTGTGTCAGTGGTGTGATGAAAGAAAGGGGTGCTGGAGGTTTGTCTTTCAGACAAATAGAGCGCTATTTAAAAAGCATAAACTGGTGATCAGGTAACGACGTCTGTCAAACGTTCCTTGTTCCTGCAGATGTGACGTGCTTGCTCAACTCGGGAATTGTTCACATGACTTGCACCGGCTTCCAGAAGGAGGTGACTTTTTTTTTTACTGTATTTCTGTTGGGACTGTCAAGAGATGAACCTTTTCTAACTTTTCTCTTGCAGTGCTTTGAGTGTCAGAGACCACTTTATGCTCACACTGCCCACTTCCATGCATATCCTGCCAGTTCCTTGCAAATGATACAGGCTGTTTTAGGGAGGCATGAGCAGGGAGTGAATGGCTGGAAAGGAATGCAGCATTGTTGTAGTAGGAAGAGAGAGTGTGGTGGAAGTGGGGGAAAGTGTCTACTTCTTTGTATAGTGTGGAGTTAGGGTTTTGACCCCAATGAACTTGAGAAAGGAGGACAGCATGGAGAATGGGGAAAAAGAGATTAAACTGTTTAAGAAGAAATGCATGTTTTTTCTCTCAACCTTGGCCAAAGTATAACTTCTGAGGCACTGCACAGCTTGTGACAAACCCTTTCAAATTAAGTTCCAGCTCACTAAATGTACTCATATAAACTGTCTTCCCTGCAAAGACATACAGTCTTTAAAAGAGTGGTTTGTAATTGTATTAGTTTTAACTTCTACTGAATGTATTTTGTGTCAATGTTCAAGGAAAAGCAAGGCCTTTGTATTGACAGACAGGCTGAAAATACTTCCTTTCCTTCAGCCTTGCAAGGATTTTTTCTTCTATAGGATGCATTTTTGGAAACTGGAACTGTAAGTGTACTGCTGTGTTTAAGACTCTACATAGCAATGCTTACCAAAATTGCTAACCTGAAGTCTGCTTCTACTTATACAGCTGACAGTCTAAAGTGATCCAGAACCCTAGTGATGAAATGTTGTCTTAGCCTTTGTATTTTGATTGATGTTTCAGACCCTGAAGTTTTTGAAGAAATCTGGTCCTTTAATAAGTGAAGCCATTCATGACAGCTACACTCGATGTCTTGTAGCTGGCTTGCTGTCTCCAAGACTGGTTGATGTCCAGCCATCCAGTCTGAGTCAGGTGAGTGTACGTTGGGGAATCCAGGGGATATACATCCTTCTTGTCTGAAGGCTGTAGCGGCTACAAGACCATGATTTTTGATTACAAGCTGGTCTGAGAGGCAGGTTTTGACAGTTTTGACATATATTTATCAGAAGTAATAATATTCTTAGATCCAATCATCTGACTGGGAACAGCCCTGAGAGGTCTGTCTTTAGTGAGTTGTCTGTAAATTCCACACCCCATGTCAGCATGTGGAAGCATTCAGTCACTGATAGGCATGTGCATTGGAAAGCAGCTTTCCCTGGGAACAGCCATCATCCTCTTCATGCCCTCAGTGTCTCAAAGCCTTGGATGCAGTGCAGTATGTGGCACCCTCAGATGTTTGCACTATTGCAAACAGCAGCTTGCTGCACTACACATTATTTGCATCCAAGGAAGCGCTAACCAGTTGCAATTGTCTGCTTTACTTGACAATTTCATCAACACTTCCTCTCATTTTCCCTTTATCTAGGCTTTTCTGCATCCTCTCAAAGTTGCTCATTATCTCTGTAGCCTTTGCCTTAAGCTATGGTAGTTTGATTTCCTCCTCTTAGACTGCCCCCTTGCTGCATCACCTGTACCTCTCAACACTGCTACATTTTGTCTGTCACCACAGTGGCTTCACACCCCTCTCATAGGTTTTCCATTTTTGGTGAAGCAAACTTAGTCTCACATCTGAAGAGTTTCATGAAAGAAGGAGCCTTTGTGATGAACAGCCCATCTTTCTCCAGGCAGGGGCAATGCTGAAGGGTTGGATAATCATCATGGATGGAGTGGAGCAGAAAGCACTGGGAAAGGGAGAGCAGTCTTCCCCCTGCCTTCATCTTCCTGTCTGTGGGATTCTTCACCAGACTGTGGAAATGTGTCGGGAAAAATAGCACTTCTGCATAGTGTGGTAGTTAAAACAAATTTGGCAAGCAGACCCAGCCCATAGAATGCTTATTTTGCAAGCCTGATGTAGACTCTTACATTCTGATTAGATGAGGTCTAGTTCTGATGTCAGCTCCAGTTGGCAAGTAACTTGGAAAAGCAAGAAAATTTATGATGACCTTTGCGGAATTGTGACCGTATTGTTCAGAGACTACGTTAAGCAGGGATTGCTTGAGAATACTAGAAAGAAAAATTTCAGAATTAGGGTCAAGTTGCTTGGAATTTTGTTTGGTATCCTAAGTAGTATTTGGCATGTTTCCTTATCAAATACATTTTCAGAAAATGATGGAAATATGCCATGTCTTCTCATGTGTACAAATCGCTCTTAAATGTCATGATCTTACCTAGAACAAAACTTTTAAAATTTGTTTTAAAAAAATAGAGGGAAGAAAAAAAGAAAATTTCTATGCAGAATCATTTCATCTGAAAGAAGTGTCTGAACACTAGCTGGAATGAACTGCTACATTATTTCCCATGTTTGTGCATGCCTGTGCGTTATCCTTCACAAGGACTGCCATGGCATTGTAACTTAATGTTTTGGCTGTCAGAGCTGCTTCATGTCTTGCTAGTCTTGGGAGCTACTTGGCCTCACCTTCACCGTTTCCATGCAAACACAGTGGCGTTTGCTCTGTTCCCTTCATGTGTTCCTGATGGCAAAGGGGTGTGCACCAAGTGCATAATGAGTATTAGCAGATGCTGTTACTGAAAATAGTTAATGGGCAGTCAGTGAATGAAGACTGAAATGCTGAGGCACAGAAGTAGAGATTAGAACTAGCCTGGGTGAAGTTGAAATGTCAGAAGAAAACTTTCCTGTGTTCCTCAAACCAGCAAGCAGTCCAGCCTGTGGCTAGAGTTAAGAAAGAATTGAGAATGTGGAATAGTTGGATTTGTGCCATTGGACTTTGTGATGCCTGAATGAGTATCCAGTTAGAAACAGACACTTCTGCGAGGCCCAGGTATGAAAAGTATGTGGGGTTGTGATTTTGCTTCTGTCTGTTCTGTTCAGGAGGAGCAGTTAGAAGCAGTGTTGTCAGCTGCTGTGCAAACAGGTTCTTTAGAGCTTCTGACGGGATGCATTAAACACTGGACTTCCGAAGGTAATGCTGCTTACATTGTTTTTATGTTGTGTCTGTTTGGGTAAGAAATGGTGGCTTCATGTCTTGTTTGTTTTCTCTTTTAAAGAGCAGCCAAGTTCTGCTGGAAATTTACGGTTTGTTCTTGAGTGGACGTGGAACAAAGTGATCTGTACAAAAGATGAACTGGACCAAATATGTGAGTACTGGTGTAGTTGCTTTTGAAACCTGGAGTCATTCTTTGTAAAGGATCTTCTTGAGTAGTCTGCCAGTGTATGCTACTGGATCTTGAAGTGGTTCTTTAAGTCTTCTAGGGCTGTTTAAATGTCCTTTGGAAGTCTGCAGTTGCTGTGCTGACTGATGATTGAATATTGCTCCTTGACAAGGTGTTCCGCTGTTTGATGGCTCCTGCAACTTCATTGACCCGCAGACATTACAGTCCCTTCAGCACTGCCAGCTGCTTCTGAGCAACCTCAGCACAGTCCTGAACTGTTTTCTAACAGAAGCCCGAGAGCTTACTGAGAAAGGTTGGTGAAAGCTCTGCTAGGTCTTTGGTGTGACTGCTAAGATTTGGAAGGATGCTTGGGTTATAACTGAGGAGACACGAGCTGTTGCTGTGTTGGATGGTTGGGAGAGAGCCAGGTTGAGCTGGGAGGAGGAGCTTAAACCTGAGAAGTTGGCACTTTGATTTCAGCCACTTGGAGTTCAGGGCAGCAGCTTGTTGTGGCTGGGTAGGGGAGGTAGGGAGATAGGGGAGGCTCCACAGATTCAGCACTGAGCTGAGTGAGCACCTGGGTGGCAATTAGAGCAACTGAGTGTGGTAATGCTGAGAAGTGTTCCTAATGGTTAGCTAGCAATTGATAGTTGTGTGCAAATTGCTGGGAAATATAAAGGCATCCAAAATGAGTAACTTGTAAAGCAATTTCCTTGAGATTTTTAGCTGGTTTTTGTTTGTTGTTGGCATATGGAGGGCAAAAGAAGACTCTCGCTTTATTGAATTAAAAATCTCTGCTGCATGGAAAACAAACGTCTGAATATATCTAACAGCTCAGACTTGTTTTGTTCAATTTTAATTTTTAGTGATTCTGTTTCTTAGTAGTGATTGGTCTTTTTTAGGGGTGGGAGGAGGAAGAGAATGGTGTTTTTTTTCCCTTCAAATTCATAAGTGATCCAGAGAGACAGCTACAAAGACAGGTTTCTACTGCATTTGTTTGCACTTTCTATTGGTTCTGCAAAGGGAGTTTTGTGAAATGAAAGGAATTGCAGTGCTCAAATCATGTTCTGCCTTTTATTTTAGGTTTTTCAGACTTAACAAATAAGCAGGTGGTAACCAGCCTCATTTCTTTGTATGCACAAGTGGTGATCTGGTTCTGTCGATCCAGTCTCCTTCCTGAGGGTTTAGGTAAGCAGAACATGCAGTACCAAATACTTGAGGTTGTGATTTCTGTCCGTCTAATCCAAAGTTTTAGTTAAAAAATGTGGTCTTACTTCTTTTTCTTGCTTTCACTTTATCACCTGTAGATGATCACATGCATTTGTCTAGACCTTTCTACAATTACCCTCTGATTCAGAGCTACTATACGGGTCACCGACAGAAACTCGAGCATTTATCAAGGTAAGACTTAGAGGAAATCCCTAGAATGCTGCCACTGTCAGACTGTGAGAGTGGTTATTTTTGCAGTTACGACCCTTTGTCTGTCTGCACTTCCTTGGCATTACACGTATCAGAGCAAGAAAGCAAACCTGGACCGCAAAAGGTCATTGCAACTCTTCTCTTGGATTTGTGCTTTGGACTCTGTCATGGAGAAGTTCATGGTGACCTAAGGACCATCTTTCCTCTGACTCAGAAATCTGTGACCCTGAGAGGCTGGAATGAGTGTTTGACTCTGTCCAAGGCCTTGCTCCCTTTTGTTGCAGAGGAAAATGGGATTCTGACTGCTTGATGATTGATGGAATGGTTTCCCAGTTGGGAGAGCAAGTGGAGAAGTTGTGGCAGAGAGATGAAGGCGGCACTGGGAAATACCCACCTGTTAGTTTACATGTGAGTGTTCTGTTCACTGAAAACCCCAGCAGTAGCAGCAGTCCCCTGAAGCCAATGATTGTGAAAGACAGGAGCATTAGAAAACCATTTCATCTTTCATTTCAGGCACTGCTGGATCTCTATTTGCTAGAAAGCATTGAAGAAAGTGACAAACATGCAATTGTATCCTTTCCAGATTTTGTTAGTATAGTGTGGGCATATAAATGTTCTTTGTGAGCACATAACTGTATGTCTGTCACATATGTGGTTAACAATGCTTTTTATTTAATGCCTTAAATGCAGTGTGAGTGGACACATATAGAATAGAATTTATTCCTTGGTAGAAACAATGCTTAATTTCCTTTTGGATTATAATTTTTCTTAGTTCTATTTTAAAGTGTTTTGTTGCAAAGTCTTTTCTTATATGATAAAACATGCTAAGTCGTATTCAAGAGGAAAACCTTTCTTAGTTCTTCTCAAATTTTAACACAGGTACTAGTTTTTTAAGTGTATGTAGCATATGACTGCTTGTTAGAATGATGCCCTAAAATGTACTGTTTCAGAGCAAAAGCGTTTGTAACAGTGGTTTTCCAGTAGCTGATTTTTTTGCCAAAATAATTCGTTTCCCAGCCCAGCTAATAGTGTTTGCTTTTTTGTATGTTAAAAGTACAAGCCCACAGAATTATAAAGTGGGGGTTGAGAACAGTCATTGGGTAGAAGCCTGGTTTTTAGGCTGCTGGAACCTGCAGACTTACTTTTGTTGTTTGTTGGCTGAGATGGGAGCCTGGAGAGCAAAGGAGTTAAAAATGGTTTTAGTTCCAAGCTGCCTTACTCAGACATGTCCCTGACATGGGATGTCAGAAAGGGAAGATGCCACTTAGAGGGAGAGATCCACATGCAGTTTTAAACACAGTTTCAATCAGTCAGTGCTAAGTTACATTGTAAGGACACCATAGTTTCTGTTGTTTTGTGAGTCAGGAAATGAAGAAAACAAAACAGCTGTAGAACTTGTTTTCTTTAATAATTAAGCATTGGATGCTCAAGTGTGTTGAGTGTCCAACTGGTAGCTTCACTGATGGAAGCAGAAGGCTGAGTTTATAACAGCAGTTACAAATGCCCAGTGTCTGCCTTTTTGATTGCCTTACAGAAATCCACAAGGGTTTCTTTCTGGAAGTTTATTCAGATTGCAGTTTTGTGATTAGGACCTGACTATTGATATAATAAGTTGTAATAGCTTAAAAGGACAAGATCAATACATTAGGATTTTCTTCTTCCTATGATTTTCATATTACTATTTTAGTTTGCTAAACGTTGTGTGATATAACTCTTTGGTCTCAGCAATTTATTCACCTTAATGAGATACTCTCAGACAATTTACTTGCTGCTGGATATCATGCATTCCTTTCCAAATAAAACAGAAACTTCAATTGACTCCTTTCCAACTGCCTTTGCTATCCCTTGGGGTCTTGTTAAGCTGATTCAAGGGTTTTGGCTCCTAGATCACAATGATTATGAAGTAAGTATGAAACAGTTGAGTTAGACACACATTGCCCTGCAGAGCTGTAGTCAATAAAAATACTTTTAAAAATTGGTACTTAGAATCTGTTGGAGCATTAGAAGCTTTTTTGTAACACTGCTCTGACATCTTCAGCAATAAGTTATGACTTGAAATTTTGCTTTAACTACTTTTACAGAAATTGCTTAAAACAACGGTGTAATCAACTTTAATAATGCTTAATATTTGAATTTTCATAGCTGTCTGTGGTTAGGTTTTCAGCAGACTGGTTGGGCACTGTTTCTAAAAGAGTGTTTTGAGTACTTGAAGCGTGGAAACTGTGATGGTAGCAGGAAGATTTGAGACAAAAGACTGTAGTTGAAAAGTGACTTTTCGACCTAATAGCTATTCTTCCTGATACTGAATGTTGTTCTTGTCGCTGTGTCCATACAACCAATTTATTTTATAGCGTAAGTTCTCTAGTAATGTGTTTATTAAATGCGATGTCTGTACACAGAGTTTTGTGAACTTAGCAAAATCTGAATTGCTCCTCCTAAAACATTCACTTAGTTCAGGATGGCTGATTTTTTTTTCCTGCAAATACTGAAGAATTTTTCCTGATATGCCTTGGATCGAGTGTTTTGTTAGTGAGACATCAAAGTTTGTCTAACGCACATCCAGCCTTGCTGCAGGAAGTTTTGTCTGTGTTTGTTGCATGGGTGTGAGTTTCTGTGGTAATTCAGCTGCTCTCAACTTGTCCAGAATTCCCTGGCCCTGCTCTTCCATCCGGCTACAATCAAGACAGTGTCATGGCAACACATGAGGATAATTCAGTCCCTCATGTGCCAGGGAGAGCACAGGCGAGCCCTCAGGTACATCCAGATGATGAAGCCGTCGATGTCCAGCAGCAGTGAAGTGCGGCTGTTCCTCACCGTGTTGTTGTCCAACAGGTAAGGAAGTCTCCCATTGTTTTGGCACTCAGATACTGGGAAATGTGGAGGAGTGATGATCCAAATGGGGCTCCCGTCCATTTCCTTTGATCTTTGAATGAATAGCATCACTGTGGGGCATCTGTCTGGCTCCAGTGTTCCCATTGCTTTCCATGTCCAAAACCTGAACTGCAGGTGCATGGTGGAGGCTTGGAGTCTGCTGCAGCAGCACACCACGAAGTTAAACATAGAAGAGCTGCTAAAGCACATGTATGAAATCTGTCAGGAGATGGGGCTCATGGAAGATTTGCTGAAGCTGCCCTTCACAGACACAGAAAAAGTGAGTTTGGAGAAGAAACAAAAAAAAGCCTTAATTTTCTCTTTGGCAAGAGAAGAGGCAGAATCGTAATAGATGCATGAAATGTTTTATTTCTCACAGGAGTGTTTGGAGAAGTTTTTACAGGCCAAATCTGGTGTTCAGAACCGTGAATTCCTCTTAGTCCACCATCTGCAGCGTGCCAACTACATCCCAGCACTCCAGCTGAATCAGTCCATGAAGGCCAGTCTGACGGTAAGGGTAGACATCCTGCTGTGTGTGTTGGTCCGACTGATCACTTTTGATAGCCCTCAAGAAAAATCCTGCTTGGTCTTTTACACCATTCTTTGAAAGACTAGGAATAAGATCCTACATGTCAAGTTACAGCTGAACCTAAAAGCTGGCTGAAGTAATTTTACTACCGCAAACTGCTGCATGAAGTTATAAATTAAATGTTGCAGACCACGGTTAACTCCACTGAAAGTTTGTTTGCATCTGAGGAAAGAATAGGTATCTTTTTGACCATCCCACCTTTTCATCCTCAGATCTGTTATATATGGTTTAGACTACAGAAATTATCCATGTCACTTTTTTCTGTGGATTAGAGTATGTTGTATGTCATGTCTTGTATTTTGCTTTTACCTGAGAGCAGCCTGGATGCTTGACAGGTAAAATACATGAAGTGGGATTTTGTTGTGGTTTTGGGTTTTTTATTTTCTCAAATTATAGTGCAAGCTCTCTGATTCTAGTAGTTTCATGCTACCAATTTTATGGCATAAATTCTAAGCTATGTTTCTCAAAATACCCAGGTTAAATTTTGTGTTATGTGAACTTCTCTTAGGGATCTGATTGTGTTGGTTTTGAAAGTATGTAAGAATAAGGCTCTGAAAAGTGTTGGAGTCCTTTTATATAGGAGTTTTATGTTCTACTTTTATTCCAGTCTTCCTTGCACTTATGCAAAACTACCAGGTGAAATTGGTGTGTGCTCCTGGGTGGAGCTTGCTGTGGCTGTATGCAGTGGATTTGTTCTCCTTTGTCTATAGAGCAAATTTAGTCCCTAGTTAGAAAGAGCAGATAGTTGTGTACAATGAACTTCTGGTAAATTGTGAACTTCTTGTTTTACACGTTTCCTTTGTCAGAATGATCGTGATCCTCGCTTGAGAGAGAGAGCAGTTGCCAGAAATTCTCTGTTAGACCAATATGGCAAGATCCTTCCCACAGTTCAAAGGAAGCTGGCAGTAGAGCGAGCCAAGCCGTACCGTTTGCCTTCGTCGGTCTTAAGAGAAGGTAATTTTAGAGAAGGGAAACACAATGTGCAGCTGGCCATCACTTGGATTACACAAGGCTGATACTCTTCCCTCTTGCTTTACAGTCCCAAGGCCAAAGCCTTTATCCACAGCAACAAGGCAAGCTAATGCAGGAAATGTACATACAAGAGCAACTTTCATCAGTAAAGTGTTGTCCAAAATTGGCGAAGTATGGTTAGGAAATGAGCAGAAAACAAATATCTCACTATGTGATAGGTAAGCAGCTTTTCATTAAAATGAGTCTTGAGCTACGTGTTTGGAGAGGGAGGTGAAGAGGGAGTGAATGAGTGGTAGGGGGAGAGAAGGAGAATTTAATTGGAATTCTGTTAAGTTTTTGGTGGGAAGGTGCACATGAATAAAGCTTTGTTATGCTTTTTTTCACATACAGTATACAACATCTAAGAAACAATTAATTAAAAGTAGTGTTGGGAGAGTTTTTCCACTATGATAATCTTCTGTACAAATACATGTATTTATATTATGGCAAATGTGTTTATAGTGCTTAAGACAGCTGAAAGTCAAACTGTTTGTCACTATCATGAAGCTGTACCTGCTTTTATAGACTTACTTGTGTGATCACATGCCAGTTCCTGCTTGGTTATTTAAAAATAAGCAGAATAACAAAGAGTAGAGAATTGGCTCATAATTGTTAGGTGATTGTCCTACATGGAATGTGGTTAAATAAACTTTAATTCTGGTATGGCTGGATCTAGTCCTAGAACTACAGAGCCAGCAGTCAGTACTCATCCTCTCCCTGCTGCTGAGTTGCCTGATGCATTTCTTGGGACACCTATTACAAAACTTTCTCAAAAGTGTTCAAGGTATAGTAGAACTACAGACTTTATATTTCAAAATAGTATTGTGTATCATATATATACATGTGCATGTGTGTATGTTTTTTTGGTTTGCCAAGGATCCTGTTGCATTTAGTTTTGTATCTCAAAGAAAAAGTCAACTTGGGGACAAAATTAGGTGGACAATTTGAAATGGTCCCTGCATTGAAATGTAGATGAGTTTTCTGCACTGCTGAGAATTAGGTCACTTGTGCTACTTAAAATTGGGGTATTCTTATGTCAGAGACAGGGATTTAGGAAGTTAGGTATGAAATGTAAAGAAATAATGAAAAAAATGCCCCAAAGTGCCTTGTCACTTGTTTGTGGGACTGATAGATCACCCTCAGCAGTGAGATTGTATTTCTTCCAGTTCATCCAGTGTTCTTGTTCTGCAGTATCTGACATAATTGCAGCATGCTTTGTTTCATTTATTTATTGGTGTTCCTAGTTTAAAATGTGTATTTTAACAGGTTGCTGGATTTGGTGGTTCGTCCTGTTCCTTCCCGCGCTGAGGCACAGGAGGGGAACTGGCAGTCCCCGTGCAGGGCTTCTACTTCTTCTGTGGCATCCAGCCCCCTGAGATCAAATACACATCGCTCCAGCTCCCAAAAGAATCTGCGAAGG